TAGCATATACTAGTAACGGCAAATGTATAACATGCGTGCCCCCACAGCAGGCTGTTTGTATCACTGAAAGCTCTAAAAGGTTCACCATCACTGGCATATACTATACTTGTATTATTTCCCTCCAGGATTTTCAGCTGTCTTGGAATTTAACATCAACTCAATGCTTTAAGTTAAGAAAAATAAAATTAACGTGTTTATGCATTTTTTAAAAAGTCAATTAATACAAAATTATATTGGATAAAAAGTTAAAGCCCAGGGCTGGGGTTATAGGTCAGTGTTAGAGTGCTTATCTGGTATATAGCCCTGATCTCCAGCACCACAATTAAAAAAAAAAGTTAGACAGCCCTGCCCTATCTCATTCCTTTTTCCCTTAGTAATATACTGTTACTAGTTTGTATATTCCACAGACCACTTTCCAGAATGACAAACAAATCCACGGACACCTTGAGTTTTTATTTACATAGAGGACATACTATACAATTCCACTAGTATCACTTTACATTACACCTTACTATCTCTATATGTACACTGTATTTATATTAAGTGCTCATAGATATTAAGGTAGTAGAGGGAGAGCTTGGGTTCTAATTCAGATCTTGTTGCTGCCCATTTATGCTCATGGACAAATTAACCTTTTGATGCCCACTTGCCCCAGTTTGTAAAGTGGATGGAAGAAAAAAATAGTGAACATTTAAATTTAAAAATTTATTAAAGTACCTGGGTGTGGTGGTGCCCGCCTGTAATCCGAGCACTCAGGAGGCTGAGGCAGGAGGATTGTTTTGAGTTCGAGACCAGCCTGGGCTACAAAGTGAGCTCAAAGCCAGCCTGATCTGCACAGGGAGACCCTGTCTCAAAGAGTATGTACCTACCTCACTGGGTTGTTATATGATTGAAATTGTGATTATTACCTAAGAAAAATATGCGTGGCACCTAGAAAGGCCTAGCAGTGTAACAGCTATTTAATGGCATCTCTTTAGTTTTATACTTTTTTATTGGCTAATTATTCTTTTATGTGCATGAACTATTTAAGCTAGTGTCAAAATGTAAGTGCTTCCAAATTGGGGTTCTGATGGAATTCATTTAAACATGTCTTTCTTTCGTCCATTGAATTATTTTAAGATAAAATATGTCAAAGACAGTATATATATTTATGGCTTTTACTTTCCAAAAGGCTTATATCAGTTTGAAGTACTACTATCAAGGAATTAGTCAAATCTTGTTAGCAGAATTTGGAAATATTTTGCTACCTCAGTAGTCACAAAATGGTTATTTCAAATCTATTGTACTTTTATTGCCTTCTTATGAGCATATTTGTTCAAAAGTTTGCTTATTATTCACCTTTTTTCATTGATTCTACAGATACTGTATTGAAAAATCTGGGTGTATCCTTATTATAAAGACTGGATCTAGTAATAAAATAGACAAAAATCCCCTTATGGATATTGTGTATACAACCATGATTATGTTCAACTAAAAGTATAATCTCTTAGGCATTATATTAACCAAGGCTTTTCAAGCTAGCAGAAGCAAATCTTGCAAATATTAGGCCTTTCATTATATAAAAGTATGGGAAGTCACAGATACAGATGTGTCTCTTCATGCAGAGGCAATTTACTTAAAGATTTAAAATAAGAAAATGAATTAGTAAAGCTCTGTGTGTGTGTGTGTGTGTGTGTGTGTTACTGGGGAATAAAACCCAAGCTCTGATACATGCTTAACAGGTGTTCTACCACTGACCACACTCCTGGCCCTGGTAAAGCATTTAAAAAACAAGATTCCTGTAATAAAAATGTGACTATATCACGAAATAAAAAGAAAACTTTACATGAGTTTTTAAAGGTAGGTTTTCAACGAATTGTCTAACATTTGACCTAATACCTGCTGCCCTTTAGTAAGCAGTCCCTGTATGTTCAGGATTATTTCAGTGTAAAACCATAAGAAGCATCAACAGACTAGTCAAAATCAATTCTAACGTACTGTAGTTGAAAAGTCAAAGTGAGGAAGAGTGTTCCTTATGTGTTTTCAGTTTTTGGTGATTACAAGTAAAGTCACTATAAACGTTTTGAAGAGTTCCTGGGCATGTTTGTAACATCAGCACTCAGGAGGCTGAGGCAGGAGGATCATCAGGAGTTTGAGGCCAGCTTTGGCTCCACTGTGACTTCAAATCCAACCTGCTATATAGCCAGACTCTGTCTCAATAGATAGATGATAGATAGACAGACAGACAGATATACAGAGATAAAAAATAAAAAGGGCTGGGGATGTAGCTCAGGGCAAAGGCCCTGGGTTCAATCCTAATAGTGGAAAAAAAAAAGTGCCTGAAACTCTTGAGTTCCTGCCAGCATTGTATGAAAGTTATATTTGTTTCACCACTTTCATTTTCACCAATACCTATACAGTCTTTTTTCCCCCTTATTGTAATAGAAAAGCAGTGGTTTTCCTTCATATTTTTCTAATGGTTTAATGAGGTGGAACATACAGTATTTTCATCTTGTCACTTGGATTTTTTTTTGTAAAGTATCTGTTCAAATATCATTTGACTATTTTTCAATTGCTTTTTTCTCATGATTGAGTTTTGAGGGTTTTTTTTACATACTTTGAATAAAACCTCTAAATATATTCTGCTTTAAAGAAAACCTCCAAGTTTTAGTTACCAATATATTTGAGTATGTGTATTGTAATGACTATGAACCACTTTAATTTCACATTGAGTTCTGTAACTGATTCAAATGATTTTACAATGTTATCTGCCTGAGAAATTTTTCCTTTATAAAATGAAGGGAGCAAAAAAAAAAAAAAAAAAAAAAAA